CGCATGGGATGGTGAACTCATAGTCCAGCTGATGCTAGTCGTCGAGATACTGTGCGGGATGACACGCGGTGCTGTAGAGAGTCCAATACCTGTGTCCGGATGCCAGGCGCAGATGTCATGGGGTCCTGCAATGCTTGGTGCACAATGCGACAATCCTCCCTTGGTGTGGTCTGTCTTGGGGGACCGGAACCTTCATGACGTGTGTGGGTGCCCTAACATGCCCCCTGGATCCAACAGGGGGCGACTGTGACATCTGCATGCCCCACATGCCAGGAAACTGCACGATACGACCACCCAGCCTCATGCAAACCCACAATCCGGCCCCTATCAGACTCCGACAAGTGCTGGTAATGCTGTCTAATGTGTCTACGAGGAATCCTCTGTGTCCGGTGACTAGACCTGCCAGCACCTTGCAAATCTAATCATTTTTCTTCCCCATCACGGGTCTGCATGTGTACCAAATGAAATCCAAATCGGACCATTTCTTCTGGGTGCTTAACTTTTTTTTTTGTCACTGAGAATATATATGTATATTTTTCCATCACCTTGTGTGGGGCCCCCCGGTGCCAGTAGGTCGTTAGACAGCTGCCCAGGTTGCCTACGCCTGATCCGGCCGTGTTGCTGTGGATGCTGGGAAATGGAGAGTGAGTTTAACTTAAGATGACCAGACCCTGCTGTCTTTTTCGCAGCCGCTGCCCAATGTCGAATCCTGAGGTGCAACTCGGACTTTGTAGCTGCTCTCGGGCCTGACGGAGGCCGAGAGGGAGGCAGCGCGGGTTACTGCAGCGCCCTGCGCTCCTACGCCCTGTGCACCCGTCGGACGGCGCGGGCGTGTCGGGGTGACCTGGCCTACCACTCGGCCGTGCAGGGCATCGAGGACCTCCTCATGCAGCACAACTGCCCCAGGAGTGGCCCCACCGCTCAACCCCGCCCCCCGCCGCAGTCGCCTCTGTCTGGGGACGCCTGCCTCTACGAGAGGACCTTCCGGCTGCGGGAAGGCCGCCCCCCTGAGTACCTGCACTGCGGCGTGTTTGGGGACCCGCACGTGCGCACCTTCCTGGATGACTTCCAGACCTGCGCTGTGCAAGGCGCCTGGCCCTTGATGGATAACGAGTTCCTGTATGTCCAGGCCACCAGCGTCCCCATGGCAGGCAGGATGTACGCCACAGCGCTCACTAAGGTGTGTGGTACCCTCCTCTGCCCTTAAACTGCTTTACCCCTCCCCCCTGTTTGGTGAAATTTACCAAGGCGGAGCCCTTGCCCCTTCCAGTTGAATACCCGCCCTCGAAAATATGGAACAACTTAAGAACTGGTGCTGGTTAGGTCCAAGAGATGGGCTGTGATGGCATTTACTGATTACTTTATGCTTTCGTTACCTGTTCTTTGAAGATGGATGGATGGATGGATGAATGGATATATGGATGGACTGATGGATAGATTGCTAAATCAAATGCAATCTCATCTAGCTTGGTTATCATAGCATGCCTTTCCATCAGGATTACAGCAGTCTTTATTCTTCAGTAAGATAATTACCAAAATACACCTCTAAATGACTCAAGAGCCATCTAGTGAAGAATGATGGCGAAGGACAGTTAACCTAATGCCCCTATCTGTAAGGGACCCGACAGAAGAGAGTGATTTCCAGCTGAAAATTCTTAACTGGATGCTTCAGTGAAGGCAAATGATGGCTGTTTTGAGGAATTCAAACCTGAGAGTGGTGGCAGCGAGTGGCTCTGTGGTTAAGATGCTCTGCCTTTGATTGCTAGTTCAAATCCCATCATCTGCATGGGACTTAGAGGGTTTGCTAAATGAATTAGGATTTTCAGTTTTTCTGAATACTGTTGTGGTAGTCCTTTGGTATTACATTTTCATTTTGAAGCATTTACAGAAAAAACATGTGACCTTAAACAAGAAAAATCTTACTTTATAGAAGACATACTCACACTTTTGATAGGTACAAAAAAAACTACACACATTTTACGTGTCATCATGAAGAAAATACCTGTTTCTTTTCAAGTGAGGAAAAGTGTCAGACACGTCATTTATGTGTGGAAATGATTTGACGTGTTAATATCTGTACAATGATTTATCAAACCCCCCCCCCACCCCAACCCCCACGACAGATCACCATCATCTTCAAGAACTGGCGCGAGTGCATCGAGCAGCAGATCTACCAGGCTGAGCTGGACAATGTGCCGCTGGCCTTCATGGACGGCTCGGTGAGCGATGGTGAGCGCCTGGGTCACCACAGCCTGCAGGTGAGCAGCCTGGACCCCGGGCGTCACGCTGAGATCTGGGCCGCCCACATCGGAACCACCCTGGTGGTCAGGCAGAGCGGGCGCTCGCTGGGCCTGTCAGTGCGCGCCCCCCTGGCCATCGTAAACTCCTTCACGTCAGAGCAGGACCTGCAGCTGTGTGTCTGGGGCTGTCCCACTTCCCAGCGGCTCCCGGCCCCCCAGCTCTCTGCACCCGGAGCCGCACATGCCCACTGCTCCGCCCTCCTCCCCAAACAGGATATATACTTCCAGGCGTGCTTGTTCGACCTCCTGGTGACCGGTGACCTTAACGCGAGTGCCGCTGCTGTGGCTGCGCTGGAGGACGCCCGCAGCATGATCTCAAACCCTGAGAAGGTGCATCTGCTCCTCGGTGGGGCTGACAGACACCGGAGTCCCATTTCAGTGACTCTCACTCTGGCTGTTTTCATGGGGAACATGGTAACTCTGCTGTCTTTGCGTTGTGCATAATCTCCCACTAAACCAAATTCACTTGCTAGCAGAGGGTTTTTCCTCCACCACTTTCTGCCAACAAGAGATTTCATCAAAGCTATTTTTGTTGTTCTTCTTCTTTGCATTTGTATTATTTATTAATATTAATATTATTGTTACTTGCAGTCAGCTTAGTGTGAGGCATCTCAGTCAGGGTGCTCCACTGCTCTACACTGCCAGTGTGAGGCATCTCAGTCAGGGTGCTCCACTGCTCTACACTGCCAGTGTGAGGCATCTCAGTCAGGGTGCTCCACTGTTACACTGCCAAAGATCTGTTCCTGCCCCCCCCCCCCTACTAGTTAAATGGTTGGAAGATGGATGGATCAATCTACTCTGGTCCTGTTAAAAAAACTTGAGAATTGCAGATTTGCCTGCAGTCCCTTGGGAACAGCAGAGAGCTTGTGCAAGAAAAGGAGACGCAGAAGAAACAGGAGTTTGCTCAAGCTCCCTAAGAAAAGTCCACGAGGTCTCAACTGTAGTTTCTGTGTCGCGTACAGTACTGTGCAAAAGTCTTAGGCAGTCCAAAGAAATGTTTAAAGCTGTAAAAATGTTTAAAGCTGAGTAGCAAGTGTACTTTGGCTTAGAACAAAAAACATAGTTTAACATTAGAACATGTGCAAATTAAGAGTAACACAATAAAAACTAGTAATAATTTCTTCTGTTTTCTAAAGAGTTACTGATATCTAGTTGGATGGCTAGATGAACATCGCTTCAGTTCCCAAACCTCTCCTCAGGGGCACCACAGCCGTTCCACGATTTTGTTAAATTTCACCAACGGCTCAATTAAATAATTAAATAAATTGGTTTAAAAAGTCTGTGACAGATTGACTAGCTGTATGAGGTGTGCTAGTGGCCAAGTCAAAACATACATGGCTGCACTGGAGGGTCACTGCAAATACTGGGGTGATTTTAGCAGAGGTTCTGAAATGGCTAAGCGGACCTTTGACAGTGCATAATATCGTAGCTTTACACCAACACGAGGATAATCTAAACATCATTTTCTTTGCCTGCCTAAGACTTTTTCACAGTATTGTACATATTATATGTAGCAGTTTAGTCACTGTAAGGCTGGGACACAGGTACACACAGCATGCCTCTGTTCTCAGGTCAGCCCTTGGGCATCTTAAAAGGTCAACGTGAAGTAGACTCTGTTCCTTTTGACCGAATGGCAGTTTTAAGTGCCACAGGAATGAAAAGTTCTGCCTCTGGATTTACTCGGCCTTGAGTGAAAAAGGTGTCAAAAGTACAGCATTTGATGGTGTAAATACATAAAGTGTGTACAGTATCATTTTGCAGCCTCGTCTTTTATGCATGTTTGTGTGTATTTAAGATTTTATACAAATGTAAGCAATTTTGGTATATACAGAATAAATCTGGCTTTTGTGTCTGGCCCTCAACCCCCAGGGAATCATTTTGAACCTGTACTGGATCGTTTTGATATTGTTTATGTCTATTAGGCTTCTGTGGTCACAATCTACCTGTGAGACACAGTAAATGGTGAAACTACGGCTGTGTCTAAATCCAATATATGTGATGTGACTCACTGAAACTTTCAGCATCCATGTCTAAATATTATATAAAATGTACTTCGATTATATCAATAAACTCTGGTGATAGCTGATGAGAATATTTATATTATTCTGTGAAAAGAGAGACCAGTTTTAAAATGAGTTTACTCAAAAGCATATTATATATGTCTGTGTTTATTAATAAATGGCAACAGAGTGTTTTGTCTATTATGACTTTTCCGTATGTTGAGTTGGCAGGAAAAGTACAAAGACACGTTTAGATCTGAACCCTGCCACAAGACAACAGTGCAATGAACCAATCTTAGCGTATTTCATCTGTAGCCTTCCACGGCCGAGCACTAGAGGGCGTCCTCACAAAAATTCCCTGCACCGCAGACATGCGATGAGTCTCCCTAGCGCATAGTGGCCTGAGAGCCCATAACGACGTTCACAACATATCTTTAAAAGAGAATTTTTTTATTGTAAAAGTTATTACTGCAAACACAATATTATATGGCTTATACATTACACATTCTTTCATTATAACTCCAAAAACAGTATTACTTTCCTTTAAGATGTCAATTAATTGCTGCAATACAAGTAAAATATAAATTTGAGGTATTTTTAGTTTTAATTTTGTCATTCTGTTGACAGTGTTCCCAAGGGCGTAAATTTGACTTGAACATGGGGGGGGAGGTTTGAGGTCTCTACCGATTTAGGGGGGTTCAGTGTTGGCTGCCAAATGTGACGGTCACGCTTTCAGACTCTCACGCTCACGCAAGAAATCTTACGGCAAATCTATATTATTCCATTATAAAGCTCAGATTAGCTACATCAAAAGCAGTTCGCAAACCCTACAGACTATTTACAAGGATATAAATCTGTTACACACATGCGTAAATGAGTGTGCAGTTGTGCCTCGAAAGTCTCACGCCAGCCAGCTGACCGAAGCTGGCAGCCCTGGAATCATTTCATTTACGAATCTCTAAACTTTGCATTGTCAAGCATTTGTGTACACAGGCGAATATACACAGCAGATGATAATTCCGAGGGAAATGCCGTTATTCGAAAAAGAACGGGACAAGATTTTCTTAAAAGAACAAACATTTCAAATGATTTTTGCGCGTATTCTGGATTACCCATATTGCTATCCACTCAAAAGTACCAAAAGAAGCTGTCATAATTTCGCCTTTCTTATTATCCCATGACCATCGTTCGCACCAGACAAACGTTGCTTGTTTTGACCAAAAGCGCAGATCTCGTGAGATCGTACATAGAAAACGAATTGTTCCTAACTGCCCTAAAACAAGAAGTTCTCCTATAGCGGTCAGCATCCACACCTCATAGGTAATCAAACAATAACATCCATCCGCTTTTTTTGGATCGCTTCCGAAAAGCACGCGATGTTTTTGAAGAAGCTGGGAAGTTGCCAACCGGAGCATATCACGGGGAGAGTTTTCGCCACGTGGTAATCTGCACTCCTTGATTTATTACTCCTTCTTTGCTGGCAATGACTTTCTACCCCCTCCTTTTGATTGTAACATTCCAGCCCGTGCTTGTTTTCAGGCATGAGGTGTCCACGCGCCGCACTCGCCTGCAGATTGGTCGAGAATGACACAAACAACGCCTTTTGGCCAATGGCAGCGCTGTGCATGCGGCGAGCCACACCGTGCATTCGAACTGCACATGCACGGCTGAAAGTGGTCAACAATCGCGATGGTTCCCTGGAAGAGCCTGAGCATATAAAAACCGCTGGTGTTTACAGCGTTCAAAGCGAGTTCACATGTAGCAGTGGGATAACATTTAAAAACGCACTGTTTTTGTTTTATTATCACCGTAGAAAACAAAACAAAGTCCCCAGAACGCCATTCAAATGCAGTAGACTATCTGGCATCAATTTTCTAGAAATAAAGTTCCGTGAAAGACGAGTTGTCTGAAAATTCTCCTCTTTTTAGATTTACATACATTTCACTGAAGGTAATTATGGTTGTCATGACAAAGAAAGTGAAGACATTCGAGATCGTTTTCAGCGACGCTAGCAAGTCCTGCTATTCGAGCGGGGACAAAGTGGCTGGGAGGATCGTGGTGGAGGTGTGCGAGGTGACCAAAGTCTCGGCAGTCAGAGTCCTCGGCATCGGATGCGCTAAAGTGGACTATACCAAAGGAAAACAGCGCTGCCGGGAAGAGGTCGACTACCTCAGATACGAAGAAGCCCTCTACCTGGACGGCCAGCCCAGAGGTAAGCCTTTTGGGATGCGATCAAACCTGTTAAGAATAGAAGATGGCATTTTGAACGCTGCCAGAATGGATACAGTTACTGGCCATTACGCATGTATATATATGTGTGCTAGTGGGGGGACTGCGAGCAACGGAATTGGCAGTGGATGGAGGGGACTCTTTGGCCTAATTTTTCCTAGGAACTTGGCTTAGCAACAGAGCCAGCTTAACTCACTCATGCTTTGCAAAGCTGAATAGAAAACGTGCAAATAAACATGCTTCTGTTCTCCATCAATAGATACAGATGGATCCGTTACTTTCAGACCAGGAAACAAATACGAATTCATGTTTGGATTTGAGCTTCCTCAACAGGGGTAGGTATCACTGAGATCTGACCAAGAGCTGTAATTGAACTGTGTTTTTCTGTCTGGGTCAGTGTTAAATACAGTGTGTCCTCTTGTCATGTTCCTACAGGAGTTTGGTTTCATCCTACAACGGGAAGTTTGGTTCTGTTCAGTATTATGTGAAGGCTGTAATGGAGAGACCATCCCAAACTTCCCTGGAGTGTAAAAAAGAATTTGAGGTTGAAGAGCCCTTGGATATTAACACACCTGACCTCCTGGTGAGACTTTGTGTGTCTTTGATAAAGATATTGGATGACTTCCTTAGTTGTTATGACAGACATGAAACAGTGTGTGAAGTATGCATGGTATATCATGTGACGTGTGTCCCTCTCTCCCTCCTGCAGTCTCCCGTAGGTGGTGTGAAAGAAAAGAAGGTGACCTGCATGTTCATTCCAGATGGACAGGTTGCCCTTCAGGCCAAGATAGACCGCAGAGGCTTCTGCGAGGGCGAGTACATCAACGTCAATGCCAAGTTTGAGAACACGTGCTCACGCATTGTGATCCCCAAGGCCGCCATCATCGCCAAGCACATGTACCAGGCCAACGGGCGCACCAAGGTCTGGCGGCAGAAGCTATCCTCCGTGCGGGGGAACCACATCATCTCTGGCATGTGTGATGCCTGGGAAGGAAAGAGCATCCGCGTGCCCAAGATCAGGCCCTCCATCCTGGGCTGCGACATCATCCGAGTGGAGTATACCCTCATGGTGAGCTCATATTCCGTGCCTTCGAAGAAACTGTTGACAGCTGTGTGGAGAAGCTCTATATATTTCCTGTACTAGATTAGACTTCAGATTTCTGTCTTTGACATTGCCGCTCTGCTTCTGTTCCTCAGATCTACGTCCACATCCCCGGCAGTGACAAGCTGTCCCTTGAGTTACCTCTGGTCATCGGGACCATCCCTTACAGTGGCTTCAGCAGCCGTTGCAGCAGCATGAGCAGCCAGGGGGCCAGTACTCACTCCATGTCCTCCCAGCCACCCAGCTACAGTGACATCATCCGTGACGAGTTGCTTGACACGCCCCTCGTCCCCCTGCTGGACGACTACGACGGCAGTGACAGCCCTATCTTCATTCACGCCCCGCGGGTCCACTTAGCCCCCCCACCCGCTTACTCTGAGGTACGTGCAGCACTTTAGGAGGTTCCCCGTTAGCAGATCCTGCATGCGCACTTTAGGAGGTTCCCCGTTAGCAGATCCTGCATGCGCACTTTAGGAGGTTCCCCGTTAGCAGATCCTGCATGCGCACTTTAGAAGGTTCCCCGTTAGCAGATCCTGCATGTGCCCTAACTTGGTTTCCATGTTTCTCCTTCCATAGATTGCTGAGGAACGTCCCACCAGTGGCTGTCTGCTGCAAGTTTGCTGAACTGCTGCATCCTCCTGGAACTTCAGCAGTAGTACGTCACGTTTGGACACAAGAGTGGGAGCATTGTGCTGATGGTCTGAGTCGCCCCCGATGGACAGAGGAGGAAGCTGGTATACTGGAATAGCCAGAGTGGTCTTGGGATGACCATGTCTGTGACCGTCCTGTAAAGGCCGAGGATAGAGCAGTGCATTATATGAAGTATTGGTGGGCTTTAACAGTTCTGTTTGTGGAGACAGAGTTGGCATACATATATCTTGTTAGCGAAAGCTGCAGCGTAAGACTTTCTCTGTAGATCATAAGCAATTTCTTGCCATATTGATACCTCAAAGTTTATTTTCATGCAGAACAGTGTTTAATTTTTAAAAATGTCTCAAAGCCTGAAGACTGTAACCTTGCCTTCTCTATCTTGCCTGTCCCTGTTAATGCCCACTGAGTCATTCCATGTGAATCTTGCATTCTGGCAAGATTCAGGGTTTTGTTAAAACCATTTAAGAAAACAAGCAGTAAAAACACTTTATGAAAATGTAAAGTTTTTGTTAATTTATTGCATGTTGATTTTTGTGTCCTTTTTTTAGACAGCACAATGCATCTTTGGTTTAAACTTGTGTGTAAAAGTTATTGTGACTTAAAAATATATATGCACTTTCTTATCTGTGATGCTGTGTGAAGGACATTTCTAGTCTTCCAAAGATTTGGACTGATTTGGAAAGATATGTTACATGATGTTACAGTTGTAAACCCAGTAGCTGTAGAACAAAAATGACTAATACGCTGTTTATTTACATCAGAAAGGGAAGAATGCCAGTCTAAATTTCTTACAATTAAAAGTTGCCTTGAGATTATTATATTTGGCATCTAGGAATGTAGGATGAACAGCTTATATTTGATATTTGTATTCCATGGGCTTTTCGTAGAGAACATTTCAGTTTTGGGACAAATATAGAAGACATTGTTTTTCCCCCGCATATTTGGGCAAATTAATGATACTGGCAGATAATTTATTTTTTATTTTATAAATAAAATGCAAAATGTTATTTTTTTATGAAACCCCATGGGTTGATTTTCTATACATGGTAATAAATAAACTTCTTTTTTTTTCTGTAGTACTGGCTGTGGTGTTATTCTTACTTGCAGCAATTTGGAAAATTTGTACAGAGTCACAGTGAACCTGGCCTGTGTCCCAGGAAGCGGAGGGCACAAGGCGGGGGACACCCTGAATGGGCTGCCAGGTCTTCACTGGGCACGCGCATTCGCAATTCAGAACCCCCCCACCCAACTGCATGTTTTTGGGCTGTGGGAGGAAACTGGAGTACAGTCGACCCAGTTGCATCAGAACTTTGCCCGTGACGGTTTTGATACTTCGCGTGGCCTGCGTAACACGTAAACATTTTTGGGAGTTTTGCAAAAGCCGGAGACGGAACACATAAGTTTAGTGACTCATAAATGCATGAAATGTATGAGTTTTACGGTTTATAGGACGCCGAGCGAGTTTCTGCCAGCCTCTCACGTGATAAAGAACGGAACAGATTCTCGCAGCGATCTTTCTAGCACGTGTTTCTCGTATCTTTTTGTGCCTTTTTAGTACTTTAATTTGTATTTAGATCTGAAACATTTCCCTTTGCTGGCCAAGCGGACTAATGGAGCCGAAAAACGCTACGTGGTTTTTCCAGATCGCAGAGGGAGGGCTGCACCCCTCACTTCCACCATGTGGAAGGGTCGTCTACTTAGAAGAAACTTGCAATCTACACACCCACAAATTCAAGGTGGGACTGGATCCTAAAGCCCTCGGAGGGGGTGGGGAGACCACCATGCCGACCTTAAGAAAATCACTCTCAAAATTGTGCATGCTGTAGTTCACATTTCAGTTTATTCCCACAAAAAAACTAAATTTCTAATGCATGTTTTCTATTCTGATGGTGAAGGACAAGATATGTGTGCTGAAGTCTGTCCTGTATTCCTGTCTTCAGAGCAGAAGGCAGCTACCATGATGTCCACACAATGACGTCTGCTAACACTTTACTGGGAGGCACAAATAATGTAGTAGTTCATGCTTACTTAATGTATTAATTAACCAGAAACTAAGCGATAGTTACAAATTGATCCCATATTCGTTCATCATTAATCAACCATGATGGTTCATGTATTTCGTGCAGTTGCTGTATCTGTTCATGGAAAGCATTCGTGCAGAAACGTACTTGACGAAACTTAAGCCTGTAATTCTGATCTTTCTTACAGGTGGCTGACATGCACGCCTCCTCAGTGCATGTTTTGGTTGAATGTAGCACAAATCCCACAAAGGCCAAACTGGCATTACTTAAGGTATCTCAGCAGGTTCTGACGGCTACATCTGGGAGACTTGCCAGGAGCCTTTGACTTGTCGTTTGCCGCTGAGAGATTGTATGCTCCATCATCGTGGCCCGCAGAGTGAAAATGAAGCATATTAGACCCCCCCATTCCACTCGCCCCTGGACTGTACACTGGGAACATCATGTCTAATGGCTATAAAAGGTGCTAAACCCCTTTGGACTCACATTTCATTCTATTGCAACATGGAATCATAATGTCCTATTTTAGGCGTTTCCACCATTGATCAACATAACAAAGTCAAAGAAAACAAGCCTCTACTCAACATTGTAAATGACCGTTAAAAAAAAAGATTATGTGAGTAGTTGATCCTTTAAGCAAATATTTGGTACCACTGACGGAGATTACAGCCATGATTCTTTGTAGGAGATTTTTACCACAGCTGATGAGGAACAGTAATCAATTACACCCCCGTATTGGACTAGGTCACTCCGGAACAGTCATCTGTAAGCCATTCCTGATTGTTTGAGTCATTGTCCTGCTGGAACAGCGGGATATTTTCCTAAGTCCCAGGCCTATTGTGGAGTGCAGCAGATTTGCTTCCTGGATACCCTGTGCTTTGCTGCAACCATTTTGCCCTCTAAACCTCATGCTAGCTGCACTAAGTTGCATGGTTGCTATGGCATTTATACCTCTGCCAAACAGAACTTAGAGTCAATGCCAAGTATCTTTGGTCTAATCCAAGTGTAGATTCCACTGTTACTGTCCGGCTTGGCTCTGACTAACTGTCATTTGTGGCTTTTGATTACTCCGTGAAGGCATGTATTTAATTGTTACCACTGTTCTCGTTCCAGAATACAGATTCTTTAGAACTGTCATTGGGTTTTTCTTGGCTTTTCTAGCTAGTTCTTACCACATTCTTACCACGTTCTTACCAAATTACTTACTTTGTGAGTCTGACTTGTTCCACAACCTGGATTGCAACGGTATTTTCCATTTATGGTAAAATGCACATGTGTGCCTTTGAACCTGAATATCTGTAGGACACATTTATTGCACACAAGTGGACTCAGTTTGTGTGGTTTCTAAAGAAAATCAGAGGCACCAGAGTTGAGATAACAATTGGTAGGATTTTATTCATTTTATTTTACATTATTCCTTATATTATTGTTTTCCATGCTGTTTCGTGATAAATATATGATATGAGAATATCAACAGATGTGAGAATGTATACTATGTACAATGATATGACTAAATCAACAGTAAACATTTTATATTTATGACACATTTTAGAACAATATATGAATCGACCGTTTCCAGTAATACCCAGTAAGATGCAGAACTGACCATCTGTCAAGCTGCAAGAAAGTGTTACTCAATTGTCAAAAATCTGGCGACACATTCATGACCATCTGTGTTTTTTTTATTTTAAACTTATGACCTACAATACCGTACTGAACCTAGATAAAGCAGACAAAGAGAGAAATCCCGAACTTTAACGAAATCAGGAAGGGAGGATAGAGAAAAGGGTGGAATGACTGAGAAAAACAGAGAAGGGTGTAAAAAGAAGTAGGGTAAAGGTTGGTGATTAAATCTAAAGAGGGAGCAGGGGGCATGCAGGGATGAGAGCCCCCTTCTAAAATAAGCCCGAAAACACCTGTTGCTATGCCAAGGGGGGTGTGGGGGGGCGGGGGGTCAATTTCCGCTCAGATGGAAACTCATGTTATTCCACAAGTTGCCAGTTGCCTAATAATGGAGTTTGGGGGGCAGTACCCGGGGGGTGTCTGGGCATAGTGACCTTCCTCGGCAGGGTACAGTGAACATGCCCACAAACAGGCAGGGCAAAGCTGGCAGCTCCTCCGTTTTACTTCACACTGTGGGCGGTGGAACAGCATTGCCAAGCCGCACTGGGGTATGGCGGCGAGGACGTCGCTTCCTCGGGCAGGTACGGCGTCAGCCCCCATTAAGGCAGCACGCAGGGTGCGCTTCAACAAACCCGCGACAGCACAGCGCCACCCGCTCCCTCGGAGCTGAAGCAAGGCCGGGGATGTGATCCATTTTACATCGAATGGAGCATCGTGTCATGCAGTCAATACCACAAATCTGTACCATGCACGTGGTGTGCATCGCTAGGAACAGCCAACAGAAATCAAGTCACTTAAATGGCATTTAAAACATTTCACCAAAACAGCACATGCCCCGGAATCACGTATAACAAAATTCCCGATCTGATTGGCTGTTTCATGACTGTGGGATCCTGCAGGGAATCTCTAAGCCTGCTCTTCAATGCCCAAGCTTCTCAGAAATGACTTCTATTCATAGCGTTTAGTCCTGCTGTGATAGGAAATTCAGATCAGCTCCAGAAACAAGTGACGTGGCAAGGATGTGAAGATCAGCACGTTTACCGATATCTTTTACAGCAAAATAACCCGACAGAAACAGCTAAGTGGTTATGGAAGATAACGATATATAATATAATAACACAAATAGATTATATCAGTATTGAATTATATATCACACAAATGCATTTATATTTTATACTTAAACATCTGTAAGATGAAATTACAAAATATCTTGTGGCTCAAAAAAATAATTAATGGTCTAAAATCTAAAGTGCAGGTACATTTTGACATAAATAGTGAGTTAAAATCATCTTGGGTGGCTTTGAGGAGGTTTAAAGCAAATAACATGTCCGAGTGATGAGTATCAGGGCCTGACATGTTCTCCAGGCTGTGCGAAACCCAACGCTGCTGTTTTCGTGCCGTGCAGCTGTCTCTGGAGATCCCTCTCCACCAAGCTTCCACGTCTCCCTGCACTCCTCGGGCCCATTTGCCACTTGGCCCTCGTAACTGCGTGTGGAAGGCCAGTGCGCTGACAGGCAGCAATCTGAGTCCGTTACCCGCTCAGCTTCCACCACTGAAGCCCAGTCGAGATCCATCCCACTGATCCATGCACACGCTAGCATTTTGTGTACCGGACCCAACATCTATTTCTACATGTGCATAGCTTTGCAGTATTTGTAGATGTGCTGCTCTCCATAAACTCAGACAGAAGGCAATCTGTGCACAGTTTTGTTTTTTAAAATTGTTGCACATAAATAACTTCTTATATCTCGACTCCATTTGTGTCTGATGATATCAAGCTCTTTCCATCTAATTAATCAACCCTCCCTGGTAATACTGTTATAAGCACAAATACACGTGGACAATGTCACGTAATGTGTACATTCATCAGGGGCATGTCAACGTGGTGAAGGGGCTTCTGGGTAAGCGATGTGAGTGCTGACAGTAAGAGAAAAAGACCACAAAAAAGTGGTGCTATGGGGAGCATGTCAGGTCGTGGTCTGTAAACAGGAGTCTGGTGTTCATTATGTCGATTGTGACATGTAAATATAATATTAAAACAGCAGCACAGTGTCAAATTTCATTCTATGCAGAGTCTTTCACAACCGAACATCCCAATAAAAAAACAAAAATGGAAAAAAAAAAAAGATATTAATCTCAAGCCTAAACAATCATCTTCGCACAAAGCAACAGGCCTTTCAGTCTCACCCTTTTGTGGCCTCACTGCGAAGCTGATTCTTATCTGAAGCTTATCTGATCTCTGCGAGCCCGATAGGCGGAAGCCTATTTCCATGTTCCTCACATGAGACGCGCTTTCCTGCGCTACGTGCTGAACGAGCAACGGAAAGTGTTCCAGTTCATCTGGCAAGACTGACGTGGTTGCAGTGTGGCTTCGCTGCGCTACTGACTGCTACAGTTCTCACTGTAAGCCGTAATCCAGAGCCAGAGGTCAAGGACAGTAACAATGATCAATGCGAGCATGTGATCATCAAGCCAAAGCCTATATTCCACATTACAGTTTCCTGGACTTGCGCATTTTTAAACAACACTGTTTAGTGGGAGGAAAAAACGGTCAAGGAGAAAAAAAGTGAGCACAAGCTAATGAAATGAAATTTACACACTGGATATTTGTTTTGAGAGGTGAGTGTAACAAAAATTCTTCCATAATGTCACACCTGCAGTATGTACTATGTACGTAGACACCAAGCTAAAGAAAAATCTTCTCACAAGGCTCTCACAAGTCAAAAGCCTTTGAAATGTAACAGAGTGTAATCATGCTGCGTTTAACTTGTGTCACAAGACAAAATGAAGTAGTGTGTGAGAAAAGCAGATCAGAATGGCCTTGGCTTTCCGGGAAACTTATAGGAGGATATCTCTGTTTCACCAGTCAACACATCTCCTTCGCAGAACCAAATGTGTTGTCTGTTTAGAAGGGCTGGATTTAAGAACAGGCAGAACGCAGCAGAGGTCAGGCAGAACAAATGGCCTGAAGCTGAAGCTGGCCATCATCATCATTCGACTGCCAAATAAAGGATTAACTGTCTTTTTTTTGTTATTTTGGCAAGTATTAGCTTCATCGCTCTGGCTGACCAATAAGTGCAGCGCATTCTCAAACAGTTTTTTGTTGAAAGGCAATAAGTGAAAAGAACCTGGTATCCCTATAGACAATATCATGGCCAGATAACAAAGGGCCCTGGACCGGGTTTATGAGCCAGAACGTTCTTTGTAAGGTTAAAAGGAATCCATGAGGGTTTCTCTGCAGGATGGTGAGCATGAGACTTTGTACAGGATGTCTAGCAAAGAGCTTCTGCTCCCATGAATAGGTAAATGGCCAAGTAACTCCAGCGAATCGTGGGCTGGCTGTCTGGATATTAGCCATTATTAAAAAGTCATCCATCTTTAAGAGTATTAATGACTCTTAATGTACCTGTACGGCTGACGGCCTTGCAGGTCCCGTCGGTCTGAGCTCTGGCAAGACTGTGATGCAAAGGTCCACTGGCTCCGACAAGACTGGACCCAAATCACCTGATCACCACATCAGGCCCAGCCTCTGAGGCGCGCACACGCTGAGTTACGGCAAACACCGGCTTAACCTCTGTGGCCCTCACTAGCTCAGACTCGGCGAGTGTCAGCTGAGCCTCTGAGGCGTTATGGGTCGCCGGGTCCTGACGGGCATCTAGGCTGGCACTGTATTACGGTGTCCCCCACTGTCCGGGATTAGTGGGGGTTCAGCAACAGAAGGCACAGCCCAGGAGTAATCTAAATAACTGAAATGTCATGACAAAAATTGCCATAAAGATCTTTAATTAAATTGGAGTTAGACATAATTCGGTCTTTACCTAAAACGGGTAAGTAACTTTACAGAAGCACTCGGTGGGACCCACACGCATTCCAAGCCTTCGGCTGTCCAATTGGATTCCGCCATTGGGCCAGTGGACGGTTCCCCTACATACCACAAATACTGTCCTGACAGTATAATACATAAGTTATAGTAATGCAGCTGACCATGTCCATAGTAACCATGTCTAGGTTCACTTAGACCAAAACAGATGGATAAATGGCAATATAAATATATCATAAAATGAAAATAATATAAAGAAAAGCATGAGGGACCCACCCCTGCTTATTTAAAGCTAGATTGCATCATCAATCAGAAGCTCAGTCTGTCAGCCGTGATCAGCAGTCAAAAGGCAGAACGCCGTGTTTTTAGACACACGCTTTTCATTTCCTAGATGTGAGGTTAGAATTTGGCAGTCGGAATAATTTTGTGAATTCCTTTCCCAGAGGTCTATTTAACTGTCACGGTTCGCCTTTGAAGGTTCACCCAGAACAGCCGCGTTTAGGGTCTCCGCCGCTGCTCCGTTTGCGAGCCGGGGAGGGAGGCTGTTTGGCTCCCCAAGGGCCTGATGTGGGATGCTGAGTGACAGGCTGTCAGTGCCGCGGGACTGAGGTGGCTCACACAGCTACGAGAAAACGTGAACAATGAATGTCGAGGGTCACAGCAGAGGAGTAGAGAGGACTTGTTATGCTTTAAGGGACATTCTGAAGAGATTAACTTCTTCCTCAGCAGTTCATCCTTTTATTTATTCCACTTCCAGACTAGTGGAAGATATTTTTCTTTCTTCTAGTTTTCTGGTCACCATAACACATGCCAAACATCTGCCCATCTGCGTGTCCTAAGCATGCATCGTCTTGAATACCTCTGACCCGCTGATCATTACAGGAACGCTCAAAGGTGCCTCGTTCCAACGTCATGTCAACGCCCCGTCACCTCAACCATCCAATTAGGATCAATAAGTACAGGTGTCACTAATTAAAAAAAAAAAATTCCAGCAAATAACACCACTGACAAGCTTAATGATGATTCAATGATAATTCATAAATGACTGAAGGTGCCCAGACTCAATGCTGTACATCTACCAACCGAAAAATTAAGGGCAGG